CTCTCTCTCTCTGATACACACACACAAAAAAAGTTTATCAACAATATTCAAAGAGAGATACTTTTGTGTGTAATTTTGTATAGTGCAATACTTTGGGATTTAATCAACAAGTTGCAGCTGTGGATCTTGTCATTTTGCCTCAGTTTTAAGCCAGTGGGAAAAGGTGAATACGATCTGTGGTTGAGTAGTAGTGCAGGAGGGTGTATTGATTATGTGACCAGTGTAAGTAGGAGTGACAAACATGCGGGTCGGGTCGAAAACGAGTAATGGAAAAATGGATAAATTATCCGACCCGACCCATATTTAATATGGATAAAAAACGGGTTAACCGGCAGATCCATGACTTCTTACATATGATTACTTTTGGGAGAATTCTTAGTCTCCCTAACTCGAGGAACCCCCAATTTGAGGCTTTACAAATGTAAAAGTTAGACCCATTGGTTATCCATTTTCTAAATGGATAATATGGTTCTTATCCATATTTGACCCGTTTTAACAAAGTTCATTATCCAACCCATTTTTAAGTGGATAATATGGGTGGTTAACTGCTTTCTTTAACCATTTTGCCACCCCTAAGTGTAAGTGACAATCAACAGTCACCTGGAGAATCTTTGATGTTGTCTACGTGTGCATGAGGGGTAGGGATGGTGGAGAGACGGAAGGAGACATTTGTGATGGTGAGTCAGAAAGATGATATTTAGTGGGCGTTTGGACATAAGAATTGTAAAATTTCGAAAAAAGGTTAAATTTTTTTTCAAGTGAAAATGGTATTTGAAAATTAGAGTTGTGTTTGGACATGAATATAATTTTGGGTTTTTTTGAATTTTTGTGAGTGATCTGAGTGAATTTTGAAAAACAGTTTTTTGGAGTTTTTCAAATTTTCGAAAAATTTCAAAATTCATCTTCTAGTGAAAATTGGAAATTTTATGGCCAAAGAGTGATTCGAAAAAAGTGAATTTTTTTCAAAAAAAAGTAGAAAAAAATTCATGGCCAAACGGGCTCTTAGAGTGAGAACATTTCATTTGACACCGTAGTTGGTTGAGACACTGAATCTGTTTGTAGTTCTCCACTTCTTTGTATAATAAGGATGAAAAGGAAGGATAAGTGTATCACATCTTGTATTCTTCTACTTTAGTATGAAAAACTTGACAGCTCATTTTTAGTTTTCCACTTATTCGTTATAGGAAATTGGAGTTTTCTTTTTCCATATAGTTGAACTATAAATGGAGAAAACAAAAAAGTTTTTCTGGTACTGAACAGCACTAAATGGTTTCTTATGATCTATTGTCTCTTATCTTCTACAGAAAACTTATTGTACTCTACCAGCAGCAGGACAAATAAGCTACTGCACTTATCTAGCTTAATAGTTGTAACATTTTTTCATCCAATTGTTCCAATTTAATGAGCATTAAAATGTAATGCTATATTAAAAGGGGAAAAATGAAAAGGAAAGTAGATCTGCTGATAAAGATAAGTTGACAAATTGTTGGCAAAATTGACTACTACTCTACTTCTGTCCCAAAACTTGTCTGTTGTGACATGCTAATTTGACATAGATGTGTAGTATTTGGAAATTATAAATCTTTAAAATGAATAATACTAACTTTTATGTACTTGTATGGTTTTCCATTTTATTTTGCAAAAATGACGGATCAAAACTGAGTTTGACATTTCTATATCGGATAAAAGCCAAAATTGTTGGAATGTGGGAAGTAGTTTTCTTGAAAACTGAATTATGGTATTTTAGAGTGTATGCCAGTGACTGTTTGTTGGCAACTCTCCTATATGACCAAATGATTTGCACCTTCAAATGAAGACTTATGGGTATGAATGCAGGCATACATTCTGGATAGATTTTGAAACTATCTAGATGAATAACAAGAAACATTAGTGCTAGATGTAGATAGCCTCTAGTTTCAGAGAACCTCTAATTTGCTTTAACAAACAAATTATTTAGTATTAGAATGAAATGACCCTTAATAGAGCGGAAGGATTCTTTCATTGCTTTCATGAGGGGTTGCCAAAAAGGCATCTTTTGATGAAGTCCATCGTCATCCTACTCAACATCCTACTTGATCTTTTGCATGTAATGTTAAAAAAATGTGCATAAGTAATTACTTCCCAGAGACATCCTACTACTTTAGATATGGGCGTGGGTCTCAATGCATTAGTTTCTATTAAGTGTTTGATTGAAAGAATGAGCTATTGTCTTCTTATGTTGTTTGATAAATCTTCACCTCATGAGCTGGCTTTTAGATTTTTAAGGGCTAAGTCTTTTTTTAACGTAAATCAGAGCAAAACCATCCCTATTACCAGTTTACCTAATGTTGGGCCATTATGTTATATTGTTCACGAATCAGATATTCAGTCCTAGGCGTGCAGGGGTGTCTTAAGTGTTCCACATTGGTTGAGAGAATGAGCTGTTATCTCCTTATATATTCTTGTGCAAGCCTTACCTCATGAGCTAGCTTTTGGCATTAAGTTAAACCCAAGATTCATTTTCATAACAGTTGCAAACTATCTGCATATCTTTATTAATTGACAACTTAACAAGAAGGGGATGTGAGGTTTGGGTTTCCATGGTGTCTGTTTCGGTTTACACTTCCCTATGGAACCAGAGTCTCTTTGTCTTAAGGGAAATTGAACCTGTTATGATTGGATTAGATGTGTGCGAAGTAATTTCTGTGTTAGTCTATTATATCTTGTTTGAGTCCTTAAAGACTATTCGATGTCATATTTTGTCCTTTATCCCTCTAGAGTGCCTTGAAGCAGGTAAAGATGTTCTTTCTGCTTTAGAAGGATACTAGAGCCTGTATGATTCACTTTTCCTAGCATTTGTGTTTATTTAATGCTTTTCCTTTGCTCATAATGTTCCNATCCCTACTAATTGAGGCTTTCCACTTCTCATAGAATTTAGACCCTTAAGAGTTTAGGATCTTGTGACCTATCTTGTCTAGGCACAAGTCCCTATCTTTGCTTTGATTTTGTCGTTGATGACTCAGAAATTTTGACTTTCTGTTTGATGAACGTGTCTAATGTTTTCAATATGAACCTTTACAGATGCTTCCTGTCTGAGGAAACTCAACATATTGCCAGCATTATAAGAAGCATCTTGCAATCTGCGGTGGATTTTCGATCTTGTCTGAGTGGAGACATTTCACAGGTGATTGTTAACATCTGCATGTTTATGTGTTCAGGAGGCATTTGTTGGTTTGGGAACTTTTTACAGATTGTTATCAAATAATTATTTGAGAAGTCAACTTGAAGGGGTAATACTTAGTCCTTGATTGTGAGTTTTCCAAGGTTCTAGTACAGCAACAGCACTCATGCCTTGCATGCATACTTTGATTATTTTGTTGTGCATCTCCAAGTTCAAGTTCTCATTCTGTGGGTCTGGGGGAATGGCATGTCTGAATATAAATCAACCTACCTCGGAAAAAAGTTGCATTTAACATCCTCTAAGAGACTGGAGATAATAAACCAAATACAAAATATTATTGCTGTTTGCAGGTGCTTCACATAAGGAAAACATTTTCTGAGAATATCAAAGAGTTGTATATATGTTATCTTAAGTCGCCCAGACATGTAGAATTCGGCCTGTCATGTTTCTGGGAGCGTCTGAATTATAACGACCATTACTCAGAGGTTATTGGTAAACAGATGGGACACAAGGTCTTTCTCGTCTAAAACACCAAGAATTGACTGCTGACTCGAATGAGGTAAGAAATTTTCAAGTACGACTCTAAAGGAAGGAAATGAACTACCTATTCCACCCAAGTTATTACATATTTTGACTTCTTCTATTGATCCCTTTCAGAAGAGGTTTAGATGGTCGTGACAAAGAAACCACTGGTTTCACTTAGTGGGCTGGGAATGCCCCCTTTCAAGGAGACTATATGCAGAAGGAGAGTATTTTGTTTCAGGTGCTTGGATATGATCACGTGGTCAGATTTTTCATGAGCAATAGCACCTTGACATTTCGTGGGTACATTTTGTTCAAAGGCTCGCACATGCCCAACAAGCACAGATACATTAAATGTCGTGCATTTCTATATAAGATCCTTGAAAGCGGTAATCTATTTCAGGCGGATAATCTGGCTCTCTATCTTGACACACAGACTTGCGACCTTTGGGTTGTCACATTATAGGATGTCGTTTAGGTTTCAATGAGTTTAAAAGTTTGGCATGTCATACATATTGTATGCTGTATGTAGCACAAGTGGAATTTAGCCTTTGTTGATAACTCGGTTGAATTGTAATTGTAACTTCTTTTAGTTTATGTTGTATACATTATGAGTAAAGAAATTGGTTTTCCTGTTTGAGTTTTTAGTATGGGATCACTCTTTGCAAGAATACAGTCCACGGAAACATAACTTGCCTCTCACTTTATGAAGGGACGCTTGTTCTCTTGTTTTTCTTGTACTGTTATCTCTTCTTTCCTTTCCATATTTTCCAAACTAGGCTAAGTGCATTGTGTTTTGTCGATATCAATAGAAACGTCAATTATACAAGATGCAAATAGTCAAACGAGTCATCAATAGAGAAAAAATGAGAAAGAAAAAAAGTACGAGTTAAAAACTTCTCATTTTGTGCAATAGTCTCCCATTTCTTTTCCATCCTTTAAATAATTTATGTAACTTTAAGTGCTCGGGTGGTTTGAGGGTAATAAGAGATACAAGTATGGAATAAGTTTTGGTACTGGTTTGTATATTGAAACTTGTATGGCTAATTATGGTATAAGTTAATACCCCAATTGATGTATTATTTTAGAGGAATAATACATAATTATCCCATGGGGTTGTCCCATAAGTTAATTACTGTTTCCACTTTGTTAGAGTCCAAGAGTCGCAAATGCTGTTTCCATTAACAGCATTTGTATGTGTATTTATATATATATANAACTTAACTTAGATATAACTACGATTCAACTCCAAACAAGTCGACGTCAGCAGAAAACAACCTAGATACGGTGCCAAAACTCTCTTTTCACTTTTCAGCACGAGCCCAGTACTCTTTTACAAGCTCTCCAAATAATGAGCCATCTTTGCTTATCAGCTTCTTCGGCTCATCAAACTCAACCAACTTCCCTGGAAATCAACAATGTGCAAATTGTAAACTCCAACATATTATGAATTAGATACTTCCTCTGTGTAATCCAGAAATGCAAATTGTAAAAACTCACCATCACTTATTGCTAAAACTTTTGTGTAATCCATTACTGTTGGAATTCTGTGAGCAACTGTTATAACCGTGCAGTCTACAAATTCTAGTCTGATTATTTTCTGTAGAATTGCATCTGTTGCATTGTCAATGGATGCAGTTGCTTCATCTAGTACTAGAATTCGGCTCCTCTTCAACAGTGCACGTCCAAGACAGAATAATTGTCGCTGTCCCATGCTCCAGTTTGATCCATCTTGTAAAACTGCATTTTGCTCATAGTACTTTTGTTATCTTCTAGGACAAAAAAAAAAAAGACAGTAAAATTTGCGACATGATCTTATACTTATGTTCTACATTTTGACCTTTACCTGCGGAATCTAGTCCCGTTTCTTTTCCTTGAACAGCCTCTCTAAGCTGGCATTTTTCAAGAACCTTCAACAAGAAAATTCTATTAGTAAATTAGAAGCAATTATCAAATCCTATTTAGCAATGAGATTAGCTTTATATGAAAGTTACCTTCCATATTTGATCATCACTATATTCTGACAAGGGATCTAGATTGTATCTAACAGAACCTGTAAAGAGCGTAGGATCTTGTGGAATAATTCCAATACGCGACCTAAGATCATGAAGCCTAAGTGTTGAAATATCGCGGTCATCAATGATGATCTTGCCATCTGTAGGTTCAACGAGGCGAAACAATGCACTGATAAGAGTTGTTTTCCCACTGCCTGTTCTGCCTACAACCCCAATCTTTTGTCCCCCTTCAAATGTACAACTTATACCTTGAAGAACTAATGGACCATTTGGCCTGTACCTCACCTGTTTTAGAACAAACTTAAAAGAGATCAGACGCTTTCATGAACTAATTAACGATTCCTACTACTGAAAACATACCTTTAGGTCGCGAATTTCCACTTTGCCACGCGTAGGCCAACCAGGTAAAGTGTGATTACTTCGGCCTACTTCAGTTGCTTCACTAGGTAGTCTCATGTATTGTTCTAACCTTTCTACAGAGATAATAGAATTTGCTATTGTGCATTCACATTGAACAGACCAAACTAGGACTGCATTTAGTGATAGGCCATAGGAAAATGCCATTCCAATAAGTCCTGCGCCAGCAAACAACGTTCAATCTGAGATTTTCTAATACGCGCGAGTAGCCTTAGAAAATGTCATGTATCAAAAAGCTTAAACGGAACAAACCAGATACAGAAGAGCCTATGTGAAGCGACGTCATGCCAAGCATCCAGGAGGACATGATAACCGCACACATTATCTCCAAAAGTAGAATTAACCATTCAGTTGCTGAGAAAGTATGAAAAAATGGCCTTGCATTTTTATCAATAAACTCCAAGTTCTTGACAAAGAAACGGCCTTCCTGTCCAAAAGATCTGATCGTCGTTATTCCTGAAATGCTTTCAGCTAAATGGTTGGCAACTAAAGACTTTGTTGTTCCATTTAATCTCATCAGCTCTTTTGCTGAAGCATTGTAGTACCTCTGCATAACAAAATGTGTAGATAATTACACATTATAAGAACTATTGATTTATTATGTGCCTGAAAATTTACATATATAACCATTTCCAGAAGTACTAGTAATGGAAATAATCATCGCGCTAAGATTATTCACCTTCAAACTAACATTTGAAGCTATAAGAACTTAAAAGTTATAACAATGTCTATTACCTGAACTAATATAGTAACGTAAATCATAAGTACGATGGCTAGCAGCACCTCTGGAGCAAGAAAACACAAAATGACGTAGGTAGAGTATGAAATAATGATTGATCCAACAGTGAAGTTTATCAAGAAAGGCAACTCAATGTCAACAGTGCTTAAATCTGAAGATACCTGCACAAAACAAATAGACAATCTTCAATAGTTAACTAATTAAAACTAACATTAAGTGCAGATTTAATTTGCAGTAGACATTTGTTCAGCGATTCTTACCCGACTAAGTATTCTTCCAAAAGGTGTTGAGTCAAAAAAAGACATTGGAGCAAAGAAAAGAGAGCTTGACAGTGTACAGAAAATCGATTTTGACGCACCAAGTCCCAGCTTTACTGTCAATAAAGATCTTAAAAGCAGAAAGAGTAGTAAACTTAAACCAATGATTGTGTAGACAGTGATTAGCTTTAATCTGCTAACACTGGAATTTTGAAGGTCAGTAGCCAGCTTGTAGCTTTGTATATACTGTCCAACTACAAACATTGTGTGAGCAATGACTGCCAAGGAGAAATACAAGAATCCCTTGTAATGCTTTAGATATTGAATGTATGGCTTCATTCCTGCGTCTCCTACTTCTCGTTCTTCTGCCTTGATTAATTGATTTCCTTTTAGAGAAACTACACCACATTCATCGGAGGAAACATTATTTATCTCTATCTCAGCAACTTTAGGTCTTTTAGTAGCATAAATTTCTTCACATTTTGGACCGGAAGGAGTTTTTTGTGCGTTGACGAGTTCCTGAAATTCCTCACTTTGTGACAGCAACTCATCAAAGGTGCCAGATTTCAGGATCTTCCCACAAGATATTAGCTGTGAAATCGAAAGAGACCTAGTTAAAATGGTGATAGATTATAATACTTCGTCAAACATCTAACTAAACTTTTCTCAAGTTACTGCAATAACATTGTTGATAAACTCTTTATTTTTCCAAGGGCTAAATAACTAAAATTGTTGTCAACTTTGTTGGATTGCTGCTTCTAAAGATTACTATTAAATACATTAGATGAGAAAATAAGTGGAAAATTACAAGAGAATACAAATAGAATTAATGGAGTTTTTCAGTGAGGTTACTAACCAAAATAGAATCAAATGTTGGAAGAAATTCAACTTGGTGTGTTACCAACAGCACAGTTTTTCCTGATAAAGCTCCCATGACATAATCCTGCCAAATCAAATACGGAAAGTTGAAAAAATTTAACTGCATAAGTTTTGCAAAAGGAAGCCAATGGAGAAGACTTGAGATTTTGCATTATAAGTACATTAAAAAGATTAGTCGAGGTGTGTGCGTCTACAGCACTAAATGGATCATCCAAGAGGTAAATATCTGCATCCTGATAAAGGGCGCGAGCTAGTTGAACCCTTTGCTTTTGGCCTCCACTCAAATTGTTACCTCTTTCTCCTATCTCAGTAAGATCACCAAATGGAAGCATCTCCAAGTCTTTCACTAGTGAACTCTTTACTAGAGCTTGTCGATACCTTTGTGGTTCCATATTGGATCCAAAAAGTATGTTTTCTTTTATGGTTCCTGTCTGAATCCATGCTGTCTGAGAAACATAAGCTGTCTTTCCATAAACCTTAACCTACAAAATACAGTAACATTTTCTGGTTACGCCTATACTGCATTATTGTACCAAATCAAATAGGTAGACAAAACAATATACAAAAGACTTACAGTGCCATTGATGTATGGAACTTCTCCAAGAATGAGAGACATCAGCGTAGATTTCCCTGAGCCGACTTCACCACAAACAGCCACTTTTTCACCATGTTTAATCTCCAGATTTATGTCCCTTAATGCGGGATTTAAAGAATTCATCTCCCAAGAAACATCAGTGCACTTTATATAAATATTCAAATCATCCGGACTTTGCTTCATGTGATCCCTTCTATCCATGTCAGGTTCCTCTAGAAATTTCACAATCCTTGACAGCGAAACCTTTGCTTCAATAAATGCCCCGACAACATCAGGGATTCTTCTAATGGGATCTTGAAGCAGATTTAAAGAGGCTAAAAATGTGAAAACATTGCTGACATTGAGAGGAACTCCAAACAAGTAACAAGCTACAAAAGTGGCGGATGAAACCAGAATGGGAGATGACCAAAAGAGTATAAGGTAGTATCCTTTTTGTGTTTGAACTAATGATAGCCACTTGGTTTCCTCAGATCTCAACTTGTTTATCTCATTCAAGAAATGTTTCTCCCAAGAATATAACTTGAGAACCTTCATATGTGTAAGCGCTTCTGTGATGGCCTTTAGCCTTTTATCTTGCGCGATCATGAGGTTAATCTGATACTTAAGCTGCAACTTGGCTAATGGAGAATTTACTAGTACAATTAATATTACAATCACTAATGCTGCTGATGCAGCTACCCCTATAGAATAGTATATTAAACACAAAACTAGTACGAGCTGAAGAATCGTTGTCCATATCTGATGAAACCAAAAGGGAAATTCACCTATTTTATGAGCATCTACAGTGACATAGTTCATTATTTGGCCAGGGGAATGAGTTGTCTTAGCAGCATTTGAGACTTGGAGTTGTTTTTGAAAGATAGCTGCAGTAAGCGATGATTTGACTTGGAGTCCGATCAGTCTACTCCTGAAGCACCATTGCCTTTGTGCTAGAGATTCCGAGCATTTTGCAAGGAAAAAACCGGCTGTTAGAGCGTAGCCCTCATACTTAAAAGCTTCTTTTCCTTCAGAAACCTCAATGAAGGTATGAAGAAATAATGGTCCTGTCGTCAGCGTTAATGTCTTGATTAGAGCAAAGATCCCAGATATGAAAATTTCTTTCTGCTGGCAGAGGAGTAATGCCATTAGTATTGAAGGTTTTCTTAAAGGATCTTTTCTTTTTAGTATATTCAGTTGCTCATTAAACAGATTAAAACATGTTCCTGCTCCATCTGCTGATCTTAGCTGAGGAACGTCTTCATCCTCGAGAGTCTTCTTTTTACCTTTCTGCATTAATGGATTCAACCACCAAAATGAAAATTTTCCAAGAAATCCAGCATTTGCAAATGGAGTAGTTTCATTACTAATTCCATCTTCACATTGTAAAGGTTTATAAAATGTCTCATCACAAAGATCAATACCTTCATAATTGCCATATTCATCACTTTCCTTAAATCCACTACAGATCAAAAGAATGGCTCCTAATAAAGATAGTGCATCTACTATCACTTCACCTCCAATGACATGGTCATAATTAATACATTTCCACACAGATGTTATGCAAAGAAATCCTGCTAATAACAAGGCAAGGATTGAATAAAGCTTAACTATAAGGAAAAGTTGCTGCTTGTATAGGCTTATGATTGAACTTACAAATAGCCATGTAATTCCATGGACAAGAAACGCGAGCCAACGATGTAGAGGCAGAAAAGTCTGATATTCTTGATCATGGAGTTGCTCTTTAAGCTTCCATGCTCCCAAAACTATGTATCCTAAGCCCAAACATCCATTAAAAACGACTGAACAAATCGATAACTTAGAAACTCGACGACATTTTGATTGACATAAAAACTTCCTCAATGATACTACATTACAAGCTAGTACAACTAACAGGATGATCAACAGTAGGGAATCAACAGATAACAGAAAAGTATGATTGAGACATGCATCAAAGGATTTCCCACAAAAGGTATTTAAGAAATCCATAAGTTCAGTTTCTTTGAGATGCAAGCAGAAAAGGCAAGTTTGCGTCACCTTCTTAACTTTGTCAAGAACACTAAGCACCATTTAGACCTTCAGCAAGTAGTGATTCTGCAATTTATGTTTGCACATGAAATTTACTTAGTTGGTTTGTTGGACCATACAAATTAAATGATAAGACATAAACCGAAATGAATTGTCAAGATATTGACCTTTTGTTGCATTAACATGCTAATAACATTATTCATGAGGGTGAAGGGACCAAAAAGTTAAAAGAAGAAACTAGCTTTTGTGAGGTCCATCCCATAAATCAAGGAAGAAAACTTTCTTCCTTGATTAGCAGCAGCCCACGTTTCTTTCTTTTCTATGTCAAATTCGGTAAGCGTGCAGAAGGTAATGTCAGAGGAAAAATATATCTGAGAGTTAAAAAGAAAGAGTGAGGTTTCACAGACAGGATATAAGAAAATAGTTTGTGAGAAAAATAGAGAGCGAGTGATATTGTAGTGAGGTGGAAATATCAAAAGAGGGTTATTTGTTTTGAGTGTTGTAGTGGTCTTTTGAGTATTTTACTCGGACCTACAATGTGTAAAATTCCTTTCTATAATGATATTAGTTGCTCTTCTCAGGGTCGTGGTTTTTTCCCTTATTCAAAAGGGTTTTCCACGTAAAAATCTTGGTGTCGTTGTTACTCTTTTATTCTTGTTAATTATCGTATCTCGGTGCTATGTTCTTATTCCGCTTTTATTATCGTGAATATTATTTTTGTAGGGGGTTTATTCCCAACAGCTGGTATCAGAGCACAGGTTCTGCTCGTTCACTGAGATACTATTCACTGTCGGTAGTACTATACTCGGTGAAAAATAAAAATGTCTGGAGTAAAGTACGAGGTAGCAAAATTCAACGGAGATAACGGCTTCTCAACACAGCAAAGAAGGATGAGAGATCTGCTCATCCAACAAGGATTACACAAGGTACTAGATGCTGATGCCAAAAAGCCTGATACCATGAAAGCTGAGGATTGTGCTGACTTGGATGAAAGAGTTGCTAGTGCAATCAGGTTGCACTTATCAGATGATGTGGTAAATAACATCATTGATGAAGACATTACACGTGGAATTTGGACAAGGTTGGAAAGCCTATACAAGTCCAAAACTTGACAAATAAATTGTACGTGAAGAAGCAGTTATACGCCCTACACATGGGTGAAGGTACGAATTTTTTGTCATATTTAAATGTGTTTAACAGACTAATCACACATATTGCCAATCTCGAAGTGAAAATCGAGGAAGAAGATAAAGCTAACTTGCTATTGAACTCGTTGCCACTTCGTACGATAATTTGGCAACAACCATCCTGCACGGTAAGACTACTATTAAGTTGAAAGATGTCACATTGGCTCTTCTACTCAATGAGAAGATGAGAAAAAAGCCTGAAAATCAAGGGCAGACTCTCATCACAGAAGGTAGAGGCAGGAGTTATCAAAGGAGTTCGAGCAACTATGGTAGATCCGGAGCTCGTGGGAAGTCAAAGAACCGATTCAAATCAAGAGCTAGAAATTGCTACAATTGTGATCAACCAGGTAACTTCAAAAGAGATTGCCCAAATCCAAGGAAGTGTAAAGGTGAAACTAGTGGCCAAAAGAATGACGACAACACAACTGCCATGGTACAAAACAATGATAATGTTATCCTCTTTATAAATGAGGAAGAGGAATGCATGCACCTGTCAGGTCCAGAGTCGGAATGGGTGGTTGACACAGCGACATCTTACCATGCCACACCGGTAAGAGATCGTTTTTGCAGATATGTAGCAGGTGATTTCAGCACAGTGAGAATGGGTAACACAAGTTACTTAAAGATTGCGCGGATTGGTGACATTTGTATCAAGACAAATGTCGGATACACATTGGTTCTAAAGGATGCGCGGCATGTACCTGATTTGTAGATGAACTTGATCTCGGGAATTGCTTTAGACCGAGATGGATACGAGAACTATTTTGCAAATCAAAAGTGGAGACTCACTAAGGGATCATTGGTGATTGCAAAGGGAGTTGCTCGTGGCACGTTGTACAGGACAAATGCATAAATATGCAAAGGTGAATTGAACGCGGCACAAAATGAGATTTCTGCAGATTTGTGGCACAAAAGAATGGGTGATATGAACGAGAAGGGATTGCAGATTCTTGCCAAGAAATCACTCATTTCTTATGCCAAAGGTACAACAGTAAAACCTTGTGACTACTGTTTATTTGGTAAGCAACATAGAGTCTCATTTCAGACATCGTCTGAAAGAAAATTGAATATACTTGATTTAGTATATTCTGATGTTTGTGACCCAATGGAAATTGAATCAATGGGCGGCAACAAATATTTTGTTACTTTTATTGATGATGCTTCACAAAAATTATGGGTTTATATTTTGAAAACCAAAGATCAGGTGTTTCAAGTTTTTCAGAAGTTTCATGCTCTAGTAGAAAGAGAGACGAGTCGAAAGCTAAAACGTCTCCGAAGTGACAATCGAGATGAGTACACTTCAAGGGAATTTGAAGAGTACTGTTCAAGTCATGGGATCAGACATGAAAAGATAGTTCCTGGAACCCCACAACACAATGGCGTAGCCGAGAGAATGAACCGCACCATTTTGGAGAAAGTGAGAAGCATGCTCAGAATGGCTAAACTGCCTAAGTCATTCTGGGGTGAAGCAGTTCAGACAGCCTGTTACCTGATCAAAATTAGTCCATCAGTTCCGTTGGCGTTTGACATCCCAGAGAGAGTTTGGACCAACAAGGAGGTGTCCTACTCGCATCTGAAGGTGTTCGGTTACAGAACTTTTGCACATGTACCAAAAGAGCAGAGAACAAAGCTGGATGATAAATCTGTTCCCTGCATATTTATCGGATATGGAGATGAAGAGTTCAGATACATATTGTGGGATCCTATAAAGAAGAAGGTCATCCGAAGCAGATATGTAGTCTTCCGATAAAGTGAAGTTGGAATTGCTGATATGTCAGAAAAGGCGAAGAATGGTATAATTCCTAACCTTCTCACTATTCCTTCTACTTATAACAATCCCACAAGTGCAAAAAGTATGACCGATGAGGTTGCCGAGTAGGGAGAGCAACTTGGTGAGGTTATTGAGCAGGGGGAGAAACTTGATGAAGGTGTCGAGGAAGTGGAGCACCCCACTCAGGAAGAAGAACAACCTCAACCTCTGAGGAGATCAGAGAGGCCAAGGGTAGAGTCATGCAAGTACCCTTCCATAGAGTATGTCCTCATCAGTGATAAGGGGGAGACAGAAAGTTTTAAGGAGGTGTTGTCCCATCCATAAAAGAACCAGTGGATGAAAGTCATGCAAGAAGAGATAGAATCTCTACAGAAAAATGATATGTACAAGCTGGTTGAACTTCCAAAGGGTAAAAGACCACTCAAATGCAAATGGGTCTTTAAACTCAAGAAATATGGAAATGACAAGCTGGTCAGATACAAAGCTCGATTGGTGGTTAAAGGCTTCGAACAGAAGAAAGGTATTGATTTTGACGAAATTTTCTCACCTGTTGTCAAAATGACTTCTATTCAAACAATTTTGAGCTTAGCAACTAGCCTAGATCTTCAAATGGAGCAGTTGGATGTGAAAATTGTATTTCTTCATGGAGATTTGGAAGAGGAGATTTATATGGAGCAACTAGAAGGATTTGAAGTAGTTGGAAAGAAACACATGGTGTGCAAATTGAATAAGAGTTTTTATGGATTGAAGCAGACAACAAGGCAGTGGTACATGAAGTTTGACTCATTCATGAAAAGTCAAACATACCTAAAGACCTATTCTGATCCATGTGTATACTTCAAATGATTTTCTGAGAATAACTTTATTATATTGTTGTTGTATGTGGATGACATGTTAAATGTAGGAAAAGACAAGGGGTTGATCGCAAAGTTGAAGAGAGATTTGTCCAAGTCATTTGATATGAAGGACTTGGGCCCAGCACAAGAAATTGTAGGGATGAAGATAGTTCGAAAGAGAACAAGTAGAGAGTTGTGGCTATCTCAGGAGAAGTACATTGAACGTGTACTAGAACGCTTCAACATGAAGAATGCTAAGCCAGTCAGCACACGTCTTGCTAGTCATCTAAAGTTGAGCAAAAAGATGTGTCCTACGACAGAGGAGGAGAAAGGGAACATGGCTAGAGTTCCTTATTCTTCAGCAGTCGGAAGCTTGATGTATGCAATGGTATGCACTAGACCTGATATTGCTCACGCAATTGGTGTTTTCAGCAGGTTTCTTGAAAATCCTAGAAAGGAACATTGGGAAGCAGTCAAGTGGATACTCAGGTACCTAAGAAGTACCACAGGAGATTGTTTGTGCCTTGGAGTATCGCATCCAATCTTGAAAGGCTATACAGATGCTGATATGGCATGTGACATTGATAATAGAAAATTCACTACTGGATATTTGTTTACATTTATAGGGGGAGTTATATCATGGCAATCGAGGTTGCAGAAATGTGTCGTACTCTCTACAACTGAAGCAGAGTATATTGCCACTACTGAAGCTGGCAAAGAGATGGTATGGCTCAAACGGTTCCTTCATGAGCTTGAATTGCATCAGAAGGAATATGTCGTCTATTGTGACAGTCAAATTGCAACAGACTTGAGCAAATATATCATATATCATGCAAGGACGAAGTATATTGACGTGAGATATCATTGGATTCGAGAAAGGATAGAGGATAAGTCTATGCAGGTAAAGAAGATCCATACAAGTGATAGTCCTTCAGATATGCTGACCAAAGTGGTACCAAGAGAGACAAGTTTGAGCTATGCAAAGAACTTGTCGGCATACACTCAAACTAGAACCTCCAGTGTTACCTCCTTCAGGTGAATGAGACTGGAGGGGGAGGTTTGTGGGGTCCATCCCATAAATCAAGGAAGAAAACTTTCTTCCTTGATTAGCAGCAACCCACGTTTCTTTCTTTTTTGTGTCAAATTCGGTAGGCGTGCAGAAGGCAATGCCAAATGTAGTAGGCGAGGTTCTGCCTATAAAAGGAGAGCTTCAGCTCTCATTTTATACACCAATCTCAGAGGAAAAAT